GCTGGTAGTGTTCCATTAATCTTTTTAAATCAGCTTGTTCTCTTATTGGAATTGTTAAATAATAATTTTCTTAACTCATATCTTTAAAAGATATTTATCTATGGACCTGACTTAACAGCTATATATCAAATTGCAAATTCTATTTTCTCCACCTACTGTAGTGGTTATGGTGCATGGAGTGTACATCTAAGACTATGTGGTCTGCCGGGTAAAAAAAAAACAGTAGACACAGATATTTTCTCTAATTATACTATCCTGTGTATTTTAGTGAAATTTCTCAGTGTTTAACCATGTTTTAAAATCATTCAACATGCTACACCAGTGGTTCCTAAACCAGTCTTCATAGCCCAGCAACAATCCAGGATTTATGTATTTCCCTGTTTTATTCCAATGGAGATACTGACAAAACCTGGACTGTTGTTCGGTCCTAAGGACTGGTTTGGGAGCCACTGCTCTAGGCACTCAAAGCACTTTTTTTTATTTTATTTTTTTATTTAGGAGTCAAAATAGCTTACAAAGCATTACAAATGAGGAAGCATATGGAGTAGTAGGAGTCTCTAATTTAAAAAAATATATATTTTATAAAAGTGCAGATTCCAATAGAGATTGTCACTTTAATAACCGGGGGCACAAATAACTCCCTGGCTGTCACACGTACAGCAAGGGCAGTTTTATTCCTCTTCAGTTCTCTTAACAGGTAATGGAGTAGTAGGCACAATAAGCTAGAGTGTTCCTGCCTTGCCCCTTTGCAATGAGCTGTATTAATGAAAATTATTGGAAAGCCACGTACACTCTTGTGACACTAGCACAGAGTCATCTGTGAAATACTGAACGTCTGTGCCTGGGATAAAAGAGATGGATTGCAAATGCTGCAGACATCAGGTCTGTAGCCTTTGACAGCTGTTTTTTTGTTTTGTTTTGATCTATGTACCCCCCAAAAAAATGCATGCATGTTTTCTTTGGGGGCTATATCTATAAGAAAATTAAAAATAAATAAAAAGTAAAAAAACAAAAAAACAATGGAGACTACAGGAAGACTTGATTGTATATCATGTTTCCTAGAATCAGTTTGTGTATTGTGTAAATAGTATGCTTGTCCCTATTAATTATATTTTAATGTGGATCTTTCTTGGAAAACATATTAATGTGTGTAATTAGACCAGTCTTGTTCACATAACTTTTTTTAAGAAAAGATGAGTCCTTTTACATGCATCATTAGGATAATTAGATTAGGTTAATCAGGTCCGCAATCATCAACTCTCAAAAAATAAATACTGTTAAGTGGTTGACTTAAACGTACCACTATAATGAATATTTATTCAAGACCGAATTGTCGGAATATATAGTCATACATGTAAATGTAGAAACTTTCCCTCCTTGCCCATAGTCCTTTGTTGTGTTCCGTTTCCTAGTTAATTTTATAAAATGTAAGGGAAAGACTAATAATGGCATAACTGTATGGATTTAGATATAAAAATAAACACATATGAGGCTACTGTAGGTTCTAGCAGACTATTTACAGAGTGGGAGATAAGATACTCGAAACACACCCAGGGTTATTTACCGAAGTTAGACTTTTTCCTGTTCGGCAATTTCCACCTTAAATTTTAAATTCACCTTGAAATCGCTTTTAATTCTCACTTCAAGTTCACAGTTGAACTTGATAGACTTGATAGAAATTCTTTTATATATACACCTCCATGACAGCACGCATAATACATGCAAGTTTGCTATCTGTGGTCGTATATCTATTAAGTAATGATTTATTTTGAATAATATATATTTTTTGTGTGGAGTGTACCTATAAGTGATAGGTTTGTATCACAATTGTTTATCCCACAATGCATATAAAGAAACATAGTAGCAATATTGCCAGGGCTGGCGTACACCCAATGGTAGCATATCAATATATCCATGTCGCTGCGAGTGTGCAACGTAAGGGCATAATTAGGTTACGACTAATATAATTGTGAAGCGTAACTCCCATGATCCTCAGTTAGCCTTAAAGATGCACTGCAGAGGTTATGGCTCACCCGCTCAATTGTAAGTAGACAAGCCATTTTAATCTAATTTTGTTTTGCTTCCTAACAGGGATCCATCAGGTGCCACTCTCACCTCCACTACAGCAACAGGAGAACCAGAAGCTGACTATGCTAAGCCTGATCAGCTGATACACACGTATACACACTCAGATACACATACACACTGGCAGATACACACACAAGTCATTATTTCCATGACTTTTGGCTGATCCTGATAGAATATGGGAGTCTACTACGTTTTCTATGTGCTTCCTCTCTCCGAATCCTCTTATTCCTCCACACATGGTTCTCTCTGATAGCTGGGAGGAAGTGATCTGAACTCACTTCCTCCAGGCTCCATCTGAAAGGGGTCCAATCAGACTGTTAAATGACCCAGTGCCTGATAAAAAAAAAAAAAATGCATAATGAGTGTCCCTATGTGTAAGAGGCACCCAGTGAGCCCTCCCAGCTTGTGCGACCCGATGCAGCAGCTCTACAAGTAGTTCCTTCACTGCCGAGACACAATACTTGTATTCTCATTGAATGTTTGATATTTTTTATTTGTATTCATATTTATTATTTAGCATCTCTCCTATGTCATGAAGAATTTAGACTACAAGGCCTAGATAGACTGTAGATCTGGGTTCTCCTGAAAACAGACAACTTATATATTGGATGGATATTTGAAAAACAATACCAACTATCTCCATGTATCAACCACGAGGAACAGAGTAGGCATTCAAATCAATGTTCCAATGGCACATTCCAAGATAAAATGCATCATATTACATGAGGTCAGTAATGGAATTATTTCAAGTTGCACTCCTGTCTTTGCATTTAGTGACAGCATGACAGTAATAGTTGAACTTTTTGCTCTCTAGAGAAGAGCATTATCATCCCAATTATCAAGCTAGGCGGTTTTAACCATGACAGCAAACTGTCCAAAGAAAAGAACCCAAGTATACAAATTTGAATATAATAAACTTGTTTTCAGCACAAAATGTTACATATTGCATACATATATAAATAAGAGGTAATTTTGCTATGTACTTGGTTATCGTAAGTACAATATCCTGTCCTAATGTGTGGGGTTTTTCTTTGTATGTTTTTGTTAATAATTTAAGCAGTAAATTGAGTATTTAATTTAATTTGATTATTTTTTGTTTAATTAGTAATTACATAAGTAAATTGTTTATTTAAGCCCAAACAAAAAAGACACTGATGCCCATAATTACACACTACACCCCCTGCACCTACACACTACGCATACTATAAGCCTCCTTATATATACACACTATACTCCTTGAACTTAAACATACAAACACACTCTATGCCTCCTTACATATACATACTACACCCCCTGCATTTACTTACACATACTAACACACTCTGTCCCTTATACACACACTACACACCCTGCCCTTATACACACATACATGCTACACCGTCTACAAACACACACTATCCACACTATATCCCACCTATAAACACACCCTATACACTGCACTCACACACTCCACACACTCTATATCCCCTATAAACACACATTACACTCAGTGCATACACACACACAAAATGCACTCACACTCTATACCCACATACACATATACCGCTATACACACACACTACACTGATTTTTAAACCCCACATCCTATAGACTGTAAGCTCGTTTGAGCAGGGTCCTCTTCAACCTATCGTTCCTGTAAGTTTTCTTGTAATTGTCCTATTTATAGTTAAATCCCCCTCTCATAATATTGTAAAGCGCTACGGAATCTGTTGGCGCTATATAAATGGTGATGATAATAATTATTGTTGTGATGTGTTTTCTATTAAATTTATAAAAGCTTATATCTGATAATTGCAATTTACATTATGTATTTCTGGACAACAAAATATGCAGCTAATTTCTCTTTATATAATTAATGTAGCTGTTCTCACTATCCAGTGTATATACATATACAATCTGTGTGTTGACTATACGTGAGTGCTAGGCGATAATGATGGTTGACATAACATGAATCACTTTTGCAAAGCAACTCGTCTAAGCATTCATAGCAGCTTTTTAAATATATGCATGAAGTGATTCTAGTAAAATGAGCATTGCTCCTAACAGCGCCTAATAGTCCTTTTAGCAACATCATTACAATTCCACGGTTTCTTGAGACATTAGTTTAGGTTATATGATTTCCTATTAAATAATTGAACCTATAGGAAGAAATGAATCCATAATTTGTATTTAATTAAATAAATATTTGGACTAGTTCAGACTTTAATCTCATCACAAATGCACTTTAGGCCCCTTAAAAAAAAATAGTACAATCTAGTACATTAGCACAGCTGTCAATATAAGATGACAGTAATCAAAGGGTTAGAGAGTTTAAATTTCACTCTAAGCATCACAATAACCTATGCTCATTGCATAGATTTTAGTTCATAAGATATCCTGTTACTGTGCCTAGCTAATAAATTAAATCAAAAGATTTATATTTACTTCTTTCATTGCTATTCAGGTGTCCAATATGCACTAATGGCATTGGTAGAGTTGGTGTGTGCACATCTAACACGTCCCTACCACCCGTAACAGCCCATTCTGTAGCTGCCTGTTGTTGGAAGCCTTTGACCAGCATATTCAGAAGTTATGGGAAAGAACACTTGCTGATATGAATAAGAGGACCCTGATAGGTAAACCCCCATCCTGTTCTGGGATATACTCTCTGCAGCTGCCTGTGGATTAGAAAAAAGCAGCAATAGAAACTTTAAATGTGAGTACTTTCTTTGTATCTTTCTGTTTTTCATTTATTAGTAATCAGAAAAATTAGAGTCCAAAGATGTATTTATTTTTTTTTGCCATATTTCATCTGGCATAAAAGACAAACTAATCATAAAAATTTTGAAATGTAAAAAAAAGTTTTATTTTAAAGAATTAAGAGACTTGTAATTATGCCCCAGAATATGTCCTCATATGACAAACCATTTAGGGAAGAGCATCGTATTGTTGAGCTGGAGAGGAAGCCTGAATGACCTCCATTAATGTATTATGCTGGAAAATATATTTTTAATTTGTGAGTGAATAAATAAATGTTTTTTTATTAAAGGGACACTACAGACCTCTAAATGTGTGAAGCATGTGTCCTCCATTTTTTCATTTTACAAACAGTGCAGATCTCAATAGAAATTTACACTTTTATAAATTAACCTTTTTACAACCCCTTGGCTGTCAAACGGACAACTGGTCCTGTTACTTCCTGGTTTGGTTAGCTCAGTGGAGCTAGACTCAAGAGACATTGGGAAATCTGTGATTGGACAACCACAGAAAGTCTGGGTGGGGTTTGAAGGAGAGGGCTTGCAAAGGCAGCAGACAAGAGAATTGTAGCTTTTGAAAACCATTTTTAGATATACCACCAATAACATTTATTTATTTTTAAAAATAAATGCATGCTTTCATTTGGGTTTTATCTGGTGAGTTTAATTTTTATATTTTTTTTGTGTACTAATAGAGAAATACAAGGCTGGATACTAGCACTAAGTCCTTAGTCACAGCATTAATGGAATCAAGGTGTTCTTTGAACGTTCTTGTCAGCACTCATTTGACTTTTTTTTTTTATTATTTATTGTTTGTAAAATGGTGTTATACTAAATTGTTTTCCATTTTCAGTTATCCTCATATCTGTGTCCATATAATAAAAATTGTCTGAGAAAAGAAAATTATTACACTTACAATTTGTTGTCTTCTGTACTTCTGTACATTGTGTTTTGCACATATTTAGGCATTTTGTGCTTTGGCTTTGTATTCTTGTGATCAACAAAAGGGTTATTTAAAGGATGTCCGTGCAAAGATAAATGACGTCAGGTAAGGCGAACTGCATGTGTAATGGCATAGGATGAGTGGTAGATTAGTACTGAACTATTTTTTCCAATTTTCTACTTGACAGAGTAGAAAACTTGTCTACTTTGGATTTGCTAACTGGTTAACTCCGTCAAATTATTGTAATGAAAACATCTGAGGACATCCTCTGTTGCTGGCCTATCAGGGGTCCCAGTGGGACATGTTCAGTTATCTGCTTGTGTCAACTGAACATTTGGCACAAGTGGGGATTTCAGCACATGGTGAGGGACTGTCCTTAATGCCCTGTACTACAATAGAACTAATTGAAGAGATTGTGTTGGTTTAAAAGTTGTCAGAACTTCCATCTTTCTATTTATTTTAGTTTGATTCTTAAAATATTTTTATTCCATATACAGAACTTTCTTAAAATACATATATTTTATGACTTATATTTTTTTAAGAAACTAAAACAGATTTCAGTGAACTCACCATAATCAAAATATGTAGTGAATACAGTGTGATGGAAAATATATGGTTACATAGCTGAAAATACAAAAAAAAAACCAAAAAAAACCAAAACCTGAAGACCACTTATTTTACCTGTAAGATGGTATCAGGAAGCAAACATACAGAAACCTTGGCATGTGGTACATGTTGGCAGTTATGGGATGCTGAAAAGTCACAATGGAAATGAAATGGAATAGATGTCTTTTTTAAAGATCCCATGTACACCATATCTGTAGCTTTTACTACTATGCCACTGGCATAGAAGTAAACGCAAAGATTATTAAACAAAATATATATCTAAAACAACATTTTATTTGTGCCTTTTGTACAATTCAGCTGGTGTAATATAAATATTTTACTAATACATAATATCTCTCTATAGATCGCCCCCCACTTATAAAATAAAAAACAAAAATATATTAATTCAAAATAGTTTTACAGTCTACTTTAGTATTTTAAAATAAAGAACTTTTATTATTTGGGCCAACACCATATTTGTTCCTTACTTTCTGGTCTTCATAGCCTACGCTTATGTGGTTGAGCAAAACCATATCTTGCTATGTTTCACAGGAGTGTATTTTTATTTACTCCCACAAGAATTGTTTACAGTGTGTACTATTGTTGCTCTATTTCTCTTTTGTATATACAGAGAGGACCTGTACCCAGGGAGCCACTGCAAGGGCTCCTGAATATGTGAGTGAGCACATTTATATTTGGGATTTATTTCAAATTCCTTCACTGCATTATTTTATTCTGCACTCCCTTTGTATTTCCTAGAGAATACTAAGCGAGTAAGGACCATCTATGGAACCAACACTACACCATATCCTTAGGCAGTGATCATTCCAACCAAATGCTCAAGATTGGAGCTGGATTGAAACTTCTAGAAATTGTAAGTGGACCTTTTGTTACTTTGATTATTCACCATCCTTTTCAAGACATACTACACTATTAGTTCCTCCACTCTTCTTTCTTATTATAGCATATAATTTCCAAGGACAATCCAGATGCTATACCCATCTTCTTTGGTTTTATCTGACTTTGCCTTCCCGCATAAGACAGACACCAAACTTGGTTGTTAGCTGCCAGACGGGACTTAATTTGTATTTATTTATTATTATGTTTTATTATAATGTTGTTTATGCTGTTTGTACAACTAAACTAGCATAATATAGATATCTCATTGCATTCCTTATAAAGTGAAATAAGTGAGCTTATTTATTGAACAGTCCAATCATGTTATATTTCTTAGATTAGTTTTTTTTGTTTCTGTCGGGGATAGTGTTGAACTTTGTGTTCTAGCACATTTGCTCACGTCTATTTTAATAAAAGAGAAACATGTACAAATTTCTGTTTAATTGATCATCTAAATCATACCATGATATAATGTAGGCCTTACTTTTTAATTTACCATATAACACAGCATTTCCCCAAATGTATTGCAGGAAATTACTTGCGATCGTGTTGTAACTCTCAAGCAACATCCCACTAATTGAATACATTGGAACACATTTTCCGAAGGTCATCCAAACCTGGCTTTAAAATAGTCCAGTAAGAGCAAATGCATTTCCTAATCAACAATAGAGTGCATGGCGTTGTAGGGCTAATTTGCACAACTCATCTTTGGATATACATTTACAAGGCGATTGTAATTGAAGGCATGTTTTATTTCTCAGTGTAAGGTGAGAGATGGCACTTAAACAGAGCAAACCTTGGCCTTTTATGACTTTTAACACTCTATGAAAACAGGATTTTCATTTTATGGAAAGAAATAACAAGCTTTTTGAATCGAACATGTTTTATGTCTTGGTAAAACAAAATAAAATAAATTCTACTGCAACTTTAATTTTCTATTGGTGTATTTGTTTTTTATTTCATTTTATTGATTTTTTTTTCCAAGGAGGAAAGTATATTGAAAAATGATGGTGAGAACAGAGAAAAGAATACAAAAAATGTTTTGAAATAATTAATAGAAATAAAACATTGCTGAGGCTGCACGAGCCAATAAAACAATACTGCTTGGGTTGAGTAATCTGATCATTACATGAAATATTAAATATCTTCAGTATTATATGTACTTTATATTTATATGGAACGTGTAAAATTATCATATTAAATGTTTTTTCTAATACTGAGGAATAACTTATTTTAGCAAATGCATGCACTTTTATTTGGATCCATTTTCTTTAATTAGGCTCGTAAAAATCTTCAGATTTTTTTTTTTTTTTACTCGCCAAATTGAAACCATATTGAATAAAATGCTATTTTCAATTGAATCTCATTGCAGTAGTGTGATTATTTTGAAGGCAGCTTTTGCAATCGAATTGTCCCTGCAGTAACATGAAAAGATGCAGCTAAGATAGGAGTAAGATTTGGGGGTATTTAGGGTTGTTGTATGGTTATGGTGTAAGTGTAGGTCAGGGGTAAAGTTGGGAAAAATCGGGTTATGGTGCAATACCTGGTCTGTATCAAGGTAATATCAAACAAATTAATGCGATTTGTTTGCAGTTCAACTGTTTCAGAATAGCAATATTAGCAAACTAAAGAGAGGTGCAGGTGATTTTAACATGTAACTGAGCAGCCACCAAATTGAACTAAGAATAAAGACGAAAGAACCAAACTTGCATATTGAGAATAGCTGAATAGGTTTTACATAGCAAACTCTGTAATACAACAGCCAAATACAGACAACTGAACAACATTCGGCTGCCATATAGGACTTAGCGAATAGACCATTACGTTTATTTATACATTAGGATAATCACATCAACCCATATCTCACAACTTATTAAAGATATAGACCCATCCAAAATCAACAAAGGTATTAAAGAATCCCCAATAGGAAAAGCCCCAGGCCCAGATGGGTTTACCATGCTTTATTACAAAAAACGTATTAATACTTTACTCCCACATCTAACCAAATTATATAATTTCAATAAAAACAATAGTGTAATGTCCCCAGAAGCCACACAGGCTAGAATAATAACCATACCAAAACCAGGTAAAGATCCAGATATATGCCAAAACTTCAGGCCTATTTTGCTATTAAATAGTGATACAAAAATGTATGCAAAGGTGTTAGCCAACATATTGATAGATATAGCTCCTAAATGGATTAATGAAGACCAGGTAGGGTTTGTTGCAGGCACACAGGCTTCCGACAGCACTATGCGTTTTATAAACCTCATACATCACATTAACAGTGTACGGACGGAACACATTGGAGGTATCTTAGAGAGGTCTTGATGACTATGGAATTCCCTGCTAAATTCATGCTAAATTCGTTTTATATAACGGCCAAAGTCTCATAATCAGTATATACCTCAGATAACTTCAACTTAACAAATGGTACAAGACAGGGATGCCCCCTATCACCAATTCTATTCACCCTAGCAATATAACCCCTAGCTATTGCTATTAGATCCTTTAAAGACATCAAAGCTATTGAGTTAGGAAGTCAAACCCATAAAATCGTTCTCTTTGCTGATGATATTATTCTGACTGTTAGTGAACTCACCACTTCATTGCAACACCTAGAATCCATTCTAATTGAATTCAGTGCTATATCATACTACAAACTTGTGACAAACTGAACCTCATCACTGGTTCTTGGAGGAGCCAGTTGGCCAGCCTCTTACCCTGTGACTATAGCCCCTGCAAAAGACCTGGCTAAAATACTTTAAACAGGCTCTGTTTGTGCAATTGGGACTATATGGTTAGTTTACCGAACAACCGCACAAACCTGGAGCTTGTTAACCCCTATTAACAACTTGGAACGTTTCTCACCGCAGTGTTATAATTGTTCGTCTGGGTGGCCGCAATTCCTATGGACAACCACAAGGTGGCAGTCATCTTGTTCGCATGAACGCATGCAGCGGTGTTTGGGCATGAATCTCCTGGAACTAAAATCGGATACAGAAACTCCCGAACACTTCCACATCGCCTGCGTTCGGTTCTATACAAGTTAGACAAGCACTGTTCGATGGGATCATTTGTCTCGATGAAGTGAACAAGCTCCAGGGTAAGACTATTGACTCTGTTGGGTAGTTTGTTCATTTTCAAACTACCGAACTAGACCGACCGCAAGACCTGATTCTCTGGAACTGTTTTGGGCATGGGACCATGCCTGCGGTCTGTCATATAAATGACTTCCATAGAATTCTTGAACCCCTGAACTGATCTGGGTGATTTTTGGATATGTTGGTCACCCAGATCAAGGCTATCAGGGGATATAACATTTGTAGGGCTTTATGTATTTTTATGGTACTGTGGGGGTGTTTTAAAACAGTATGTTTTTTTCTGTGCCCAGAGATAATTGGATTAGAATTACTACAGTTACTGATCCAATTATCTCCCAGGCAGAATGGAGAGATTGTGTGCTGTGTGTGGGAGTGCTGTGCCTTGTAACCTTATTGTTATTGGTCTGAGAAGTTTCAAATCAGTTCCCCACAAGGTCCCTGTGGGCATACCCCTTGCATGGGGATTGTAATATAAGGCCAAGTGGGGCTTCCATTAAACTGAGATTCTTTTACCCCTTCATGAAGTCTTGGCTCATGTTTGGAGGATTGGAGAACTACATTCACTCTGGAGATTGCTATATCACAATACTCCCCCGAGTATAATCACTAGCTCTTATAAGAGCTGTTCCTGCTACGCTCTCTGGACTAGGAGAGGTCTACCCACTGGAAGCTAGATCCTGGTCTTGGGTCCAGGGCGGGTGGAGGACAGCAAGACCTCAACCAAGCTGCGACGGTTCATGGGGCTTACGGTGGTTATGGTGTTCCAGTACGGTGCTTATGGTGCTCACAAGTACTAGGAAGCAGCTATTGATGGAGGTACCCGGTCAGGGTGCCAAGTGGTCTGTCACAAAACTAAACAAAAATAAAACACAAGCCCTTCCAATCAATATCCCACATATAACATTAGCTAATTTAAAAACAAAATATGATTATGACTAGAGAGAGCAATACATATCATTCCTAAGTATAAAACTAGCCAAAAATACTAAATGTATGGTACAACTAAACTTTGATGAAAAATGGCCAGAACTTAGAGCAGAACTGCAAAGATGGGGAAAATTTGAATTTTCCTGGCTAGGTAGAATAGCTGCATTAAAATGAATTTTTTTCAAAATTACTGTACTTGATACACACTATACCACTTTATGTCCCTAACTCCTTCTTCAAAAAAGACCACTCAGACATGATCAAATATATTTGGCAAAACAAAAAAAAGCAGAATCAACCTCCCAATACTATCCAGACATAGCAAATTTGAAAGTTTAGGAGTCCCAGACTTCAAACGCTATTTCACTGCAACCAATGCCTCCCTGGCAATAAAATTTTATTTAACTAATAATAAACCTAAATGGCTTCAGATAGAAGATTAAATAATACAAAATTATTCTCTTCTAGATCTGTTATGGACACCTAAATTAAGGAAAAAGATCAACCACTTACTACTTCCCACCACAAAAATAACCTTAAAAGCATTGGATGGACTTGTTCTCGACAGTTCAACCAACCAACAAACTGTCAAGGGCAATGCCTATCTCTGTAATAAGATTAATGTTTCCAAAAATGACCATAGACTTACAAAAATGGAAGTCATACAACATAAAATTCATTAACAATTTTTTTGAAAGAAACGCCCTACTCACCTTCCCCAAATTAAAAGATAAATACAATCTTTATGACAATCTGTCTACACAACATCAACACAGTATCACCAAATTAAAATAAGCATTTAACATTTCTTCAATGGATACTCTACAACCCTCCAATTTAGAAATGATACTTCTGAAAAATCCATAAGAGAAACACAATCTCCTCTTGCTACTACTACATTTCCTCATTTCCTAATACAAAAAAATGCAATGTATGATAGCATGGGAAATAGACATGGGAATTGAACTTAACTTATCAGATTGGTAGAAAATAAAAGATGCATTAAAAGGAAAGCCTTTATGCTCAAACCATATCAAAAACCATTTAAAGGTTATTTACCACTGGTCTTCAGACCTTTGATGGAGAGGGTGCGGGGAAAAAGGAGATATGTACCACATATGGTGGCAGTGCACAAAACTCAAATCCTTCTGTGATTTCATTTTAACTCTGATCCAAACTATTCTATCACAACTCTCTCACCTCAAATTGGAATATTTAAAATCCTCCCAAATGTTTTAAATAAAACAGAAAGGATTGTAATATCACACATTCTAATCGCAGCCACCACACTTCTGCCAAGATATTGGAAAACCTCAAATATCCCATCAAAAACAAGAAATTATTGCATCTATTAGAGAAAACAAGAGTTGCGAACTTGCGACACGACCACCATCTCCTTCACATGCAAAACTAAGTGCATTCTGGGATAATTGGGAACGCACGACAAATAAAATAGGTTGAAATTTCATAAAGGTTGAATACATGGAACGTATTTTACTGGATAGGCTGTCTTCTTATTATTTATTGTTTCTTCTACTGTAAATAATTAGATTTGATCACATTTATCTGATATATACCCTTTATAGCCTTCATCAATATGTTAACCCAATCTATGCAAGACCAAATGTTATTTTTATAAAAATATCAACACAACGTGATAAAAACATTAAAACTAATCTATCATAAAACAATGCAAAAAGGGCACCAAAACCCCCTTTACCCTTCCTACCCCATCCCACCCTAATCTTTCTTCCCATTTTACTAATATTCATATAAATTATTTCTCTTTATCCCCCCCAAAAAAGTTCATTGTCGTATATAAACACATAATATTATATTGTTACAATTATATTACCATCACTGTATACATCCTTGTATGTGCTATTTAT